TGTATATATATATTTTTTTTTTTTTGGGTTGTTTGTGGGTGGTTTAGAGACGCAGCCAGCACTGATTGGATTTTCACACCTTGCTCGTCGATTTTCACCACTCACACTAGCTTACAATCACATCCGTCGCATTTATATTTACTTTTGAATATATCGCCATTAATTTCAGGATATTGATTCAGGCGAATAATGACTTTTGTGCGTATTAATAAGAAAAAATTGTAATTACATACTTTTTATTGCAAGCTGCTCACGCAAAAATTTAACAAGGTTTTTCTTTTTGGGGAAAATTCAGCAGTACACACCAACCAATGCGAAGAAAACCTTCGATCACAGCACCTGACAGTAATAAATGTCATGGAAGGAACAGAAAGATGATTTATTGGCATTCAGCGAACGCGTTTGCTAAGTAGTGTAAGAGAAATAAAACGCTTGTTACAATGCGTCTATACGTTCAGTTTCTTATGGTTACATACTGTTACATATATCTCTCTATACATACATGTGAATGAACAACATAACTAGTGAATATATATGAATAATCAAGGCGAATTTAACCTATATTTGCCCATTTATCTATGTTCAAGATTGTAGGAGTATTGTCGTTTTTGATTCATATATGTTCTTTGACCCTTGATATTGTTACGATTTTACTAAATCAACCTCGAATATTTCCTAAATCCTTCGGGTACGATCTCTGGATTGTTAAATAAAACTCGCCAACTTAATTTGCAGTTTCTTTCGTTATAAAGAATTAATCTAATGTCCTTTATTTACTCCGTAATTCACAATTCAATTACAATACACTTTACTATTTACAATCACTAGTATCAACTTTCACAATTTACTCTACTTAAATATAATCTCCAACGCGTTTACTTTACGACTTCACTGATGTTAACTCCAACCAGATCACTTTGTCACTAACTTGACATGCAGCTGAGTGTCGCCTTTATATAGCAGTCGGCTGCTCGCAGACGAAAGCGTAGAAGCATCGAATTGTTCGCTATGGAAGGTTCTTGTTTGTTCGTTTCTAGAACGTACTAGTTATCGGCTTCTCTCTTTCATCTGACATTCGCCTCGCATTTTCGCAACAATATCAAATAAGTTCTTTGCTACTGACTTTAGAGCATGCCTGCTTATAATCATTTCGAAAAAAGTTATTGTCTATATCTGGCAGCACCTCCATTAATTCGTCCATATCAGAAATTTCGAAAATTCAGGAAAGTTGTTTATCGGATAATTAGATGCAGAAACGTATATATATTATTCCAAGTTCTCTGAAAGTATTTTAGAATTACCTTTCAAGTGAAAAGAAAATATTCACTCAAAAATTACTTGCTGTGTCCGTAAATCACGATAGTTACTAAATGTCGCATTCATACAGCATTAGTACTAACAATGGGCAAAACGATTTTGCTAATCCCCGATTAGAGTCACATATGACCTTTGTGTGCCCAGAATGCGGCGTGGAATTTGAATCGCAACAAGATTGGCGACGTCATTTAAATGAAGAACATGATTATATTCACAAAACACCAGCAAATTTTGATTTTAAAGAGATTAGCGAGAGTTTCCATGAATGTCAAGTGTGTCACAAATGGGTGGCGAACGCCAATCAAGCTATTGCATTACTTCAATATCATCGTTTTTTACACTTACCATTTAATCGTACATATCGTTGCCGACATTGCAAAGGTGGATTTACTCGTAAACGTGCTCTATGTGAACATCTCTATCGCTTCCACAGTAGGCAAATAATTACTGCAGAAAAATTGCGTCAAACTGAAACCGAGACTACTACAAACCTTGTGCAAACATCCGAGCAAAAACAAATACGTGACCCTCGCCTAAATGCCGAATTTTACTTACGTTTTATCTGTCCTCATTGCGGTAAAGGTATTGAACGCTTCGAACAGTGGCTTAAACATTTGGATTTACATCAGTCTACCTCTAACGATTTACGTATGCATCGCATATCTGGCTCCCGCAATCATTACTGCTTGCAATGCCGAAAACTTTTGTACACTAATGAGCAGCCGAAATTACAACGCCATCGTTTCACTCATCTACCCTTCCGACTATATTTCAAATGCGCCTTCTGTATGGTAAAGAAATCATTCAAATCGGAAATCTTTAGGCATTTTGTATATGCTCATCCCCGCCAATTTAATGAAGCAAAACCGTACATTAAGAAACCGGTTGAATGGGGAGCAAAGATAAATGATCGTCTCAACACTGAGCTTGACGCGATATTAAGGCGTTATAAATGCGCCGATAGCAATGAGAATGCAGAAGTCAACACACAGATAATGCGTGGCAGATCACAGAAAAAACAAACATATGCCAGTGAAAAAGCACGTCTTGCATCTCAACAACAAAAGGCCACGTCGATCACTGGAACAACTCGTAAAAGTAATGTGCGAATCATTAAAGATTTTGACATGGTGCAACGGAAAAGTGGTTCGACTCCTACAGGATCTGCTACCGAGGATGATTTTGAAGAACTATGCGCAGATGTTTTTGAATCCATTGAGGAGGATATACAACTTTCGTCTAAAGAAAAAACCGATCAAATAAAAGAAGTAGTTACTTCAAAACAAGAATATATCCCTAATGAAGAACTAGTAATAAGCATTGAAATAAATGCCGTAGACGAAGAAAACAAAGCGGAAAATAACTTTATTAAAGCACCACCTAGTAAACGTTTAAAATTAAGTGGAGCAGAGACAATACCAAAATTTGCAAAACACTCGGAAATTAAAAAAGAATCGAATATACCCAATTTTCCCATAATACAGGCTTCCGACAAGAAAAAGTGGTTGGAGGCAAATATTCATTATCTCTGTCCCGAATGCGGCAACGAATTCTCGGAACAAAACAGCTGGCGGACACATGTCTTTACAGAGCATAACATTGAAAATGCTATTCAAACAAACTTCCAACTTCTTGAAAATAAACAATCTTATCTATGTCTCGACTGCATGGATGTGCAGCATACTACTAAATATTCTGAATTACAGCGTCATCGTTTCATGCATATGCCCTTCCAAGCCTACCTCAAATGTAAGCTTTGTTCGAGGACCAAATCCAGTAAACCCAAAATGATGCAGCACCTTCAAGAATGTCATGACTTTCAAGGAGTGTCGACAAACAAGTTAAGTAAAGAGCCCGCACAGTTTCATTTCTGCAGGATTTGTAGAAAGTACTTCATTTCAATCGAACGATTGGAAAAACATCAGACCCAAACCTGTAGCATGCGAACCAATGGGCTACGTACTAGTTTATACAACAATAGCAAAAGTAAATCTACCATCGCAAGCAACATGAAGTTGCTTACACATTTGAAGCAAGCTCAGGCTCGCATGAAGAATATTCTATCGATTGATTCAAATTAATTTTCAAAACAAGTTTATGTGTAAATAACATTTAAATTTCATTATATTGATATAGAACCTAAGTCTATTATAGGTTATAGAATTACTAAATACGTTTTATTAATTAAAACACTGGTGTATAATATTTATTGTATTTCCTTATATTTGTCCGTTTTTCTACTATAAGCTACAGGTGGTTTTTGTCTAAATTTGCTAACATTTGAGTGTAAGTATAAGTATGAAGCCGTATTTTAAGCATCGCGTCATGGGCCGCTTAGTAATTAAATAACTTATTTGTAAATTATTATTTATATATGTATATACATGGGAGTGACAACTGATCATTGCCAATATTCTTTTGGTCACAATCGTAAAGAGTTTATAGACAATAAGTATTGCATAAATACAATTACTAAATATTGACCATTTGCCAGGGATTACAATATCTTTTGCTAATAAATATGTTCGAAAATCCCAACAAAAACTACACTTAAATATAATGTCATTGTAAAGGAAATAATTATTTACATAAGTAGGAATAGCATAAACCTCAACTGCAACTTATTCTGCATTTTTCTCCAACCCCATCGACCACAGCAAACGACTTTCAGTTTCCACATACACTTCGTCAGATGCATATGTATTGGATGTGCTCACCATATAGCCGAATTCCAGTGGTGCTCTAACTAAAAAAAGTAGATATTACAAATGACTCATTGTAATTTGTCATAAATATACCCAAATTCCATTTTAATCCTGTAGTTGTAACCATATTCGCTCGACTACCAATAGGCATTAGCGCACACCATTGTCCACAATCGATTAGTTCTCTGGGAATTTTAATTTTATGTCTTCCAGGTAGTAGTAACCAGCTCAAACATGAACTGTTCAAAAGATATATATTCAAACGTTCGCTTTGTAACTTAAATAGTGTATTTATGTTTGCCATTATTTGATCGAGGCGTCCCGAATTTTCTTGAAGTACAATAACTTTGTGAATGTTCCGCTTGCCCAATTCAGGTAGTAAAAATCGGATTGCTTTTGTGAAATCGGTTTCATCTTGGAGAGGAGTGTGTTGATATTTCGTTTCAGGTGCGCTGAAATGATTACGAGTTTCTTCAGTAATCGAATCGAAATCCCCAGTTATATACTCCGGATGCTTCATTATTTCATTTTGACAATGTTTGCTTAGAAAATTCCGCCAGTGGTTGGCACCACCATCTACCAAGCAACGTATCTGAGCTGCGCAATACTTATAAATTGATCGATTGTTTTTTTTTTTTTAATTATAAGCAATTTATTTACCTTTTTGCCATATTTCTTTTACTGTTTGTGCAGGCACGTGTAAGTTGCGATTCAGCACGAGGCATGCGTAATCATTTCTGGTTGCATGACAACCGGTAATCACTTCACTTGGATGCCAAAGACATGTCTCACTATCATTGCGTGTATTGTAGGTAGTACTTTCACCATTTGTATGCATTAGGATTGGGGTATAATTATGATATTGGCTTATTCTCTGGAGAACTATGCAAGATATATTAGGAAATTCTCTAGTGAATATTTGTAGCACTGCAACTGGCTTCCAAGTTATTTGCAAAATTAATAATTTCAGAGTTGCCCACTTCATTTGGCTTTATATTTCCAATATGTTAGCATTGCTTCTACATATTTTCTAAATACAATAATTTCAATCGAATGAATTTGCTATTTGATAAGAGCGACTAGTTATTTGTTTTCATTTCTAATGTTTAATATAATAGTATAACAGTTGGTTATATCCAAATATGGCAACATTTTATATCCGGAGTTCCCACAAAATGCAAGGTAATGAAGCAGGGTTGTTTATATTGTTACGATTTTACTGAATCAACCTCGATTATTTTCTAGATCCTTCGGGTACGATCTCTGGATTGTTAAATAAAAACTCGCCAACTTAATTTGCAGTTTCTTTCGTTATAAAGATTCTATCTAATGTCCTTTATTTTCTCAGTAATTCACAATTCAATTATACTGCACTTTACTATTTATAATCACTAACATCAACTTTCACAATTTCCTCTACTTAAATGTAATTCCCAACGCGTTCACTTTACGTCTTCACTGATGTTAACGCCAACCAATTTGCTTTGTCACTGCTTGACTTGCAGCTGAGTGTCGCCCTTATATAGCAGTCGGCTGCTCGCAGACGAAAGCGTAGAAGCATCGAATTGTTCGCTATGGAAGGTTCTTGTTTTATCGTACTAGTTATCGGCTTCTCTCTTTCATCTGACATTCGCCTCGCATTTTCGCAACAATATTACAAATAAATTCTTGATATCTATATATGTGTTTGGCATTTTGTCATAGAATGATTTCTCATACGATATTTAGCCGAACTTATTCAAATACGTTCTACTGCTTTGCTGAGAATTAAGAAAATAAAATCTGCACATGTTCATCGCTTACAAAGCAATGAGAGCTGCACAATTTTTAACGTATGCCATCTAGCTCAATATTCGGATTGGCTGGCAGCAATATGATTACTTACTAATTTAGCATTCACTGAACAACCTCACAGCCAAATCATTCACCCATCTTTCATTGAACAATTATAGTACACCGCCAAGCAAAAATGGTGGAGGTTTCTTCCAGTTTTTAACAAGTTTGCGGAACGATTTTGCAAATTCATTTGGTTTGTATGCTTTTTAGGCAACAAATAGTAAGTTAAATTTGTATTTAAAAACTTGTATTGATTTTGAGTTTTTAATAATATCATTCTGATTATAGCTAAGTGAAAATATAGTGGTTAGACTACCATTCAGGGAAAAAAAGAAAGGGAAAAGAAGCAGTTTAAAATATAATACGAAAAAGTGAGTAAACGCAAAGGTTGTTCGAATTTAATATGTAAAGTTCTTTAAATAATTTTTTATTGGAATACCTAGATTATCTTAAAACTGTTGGAAAAATAAATGTAATAAAAAAATGGATCAACTACATTTTATGTTTGCAAATGATTATAAAGTGGACGACGATAATAACGCTAAGAATGATTGTAACAAAAAGGAAGCGAAAATTAAAAATGAGCCTGAAGACGATGTCGTTGAAGAAGAAGATGATAGCTATATAATGCCAGAATCATTGCTGCAGCAAATAACTACTACGCAAGGAAAAGATGCGGAGGGTGAAGATGATAATACAATATTCAATTTTGGAATCGAAACAAGTGCAAATAAGCGTCCTACTCCTACGATTGCATCTAAGCCATCTTCAGCAAAAAACCCACAAGATGCATTTATTAATTTTGATTTAGCTGTAATGTATATATGCCCAGCTTGTGGTAGTGAATTTGATACTCAAACCGCTTGGAAGACACACATTAATGGCATTCATGAATACAATACACGCCGCGGATTAAATTTTGTACCAATTGATAAATTATATCACAGGTGTCTGGAGTGCAATAAACCGATTGCAATGCATGCTATGGAAAATTTATTGAAACATAAATTTACACACTTGCCCCATCGATGTACCAAATGTAGGATTTGCCACAGACTTTATAAATATAGGCAAGATTTAATTGTACATTTACGTCTATGTCATCGTGAGGATGTAATAGAAATGATGGGTGATACAAATAAGGTTGAGAAAAACATATATGAAAATTTACGCACTTATGTTCCCCCAAGAAAAAATCCAAAACTAGAAATCAGGGATATTAAAGGTAACGCAATTGATATATTTGAAAATACTAATGACAGCGTTGAGGTAAAAAATGAACCCTTTGATGCTGATGACCAAGAAGACGAGGTTATGCAATACCGAAATAAGCCAAAATTCCATCAAACCTCTATTTTGGAGGACGCATTAAGCCGAAAAACTTCACAAGTGTCTGGGCACCCTCAGCAAGCCCATGAGAGACAATGGGAAAAACATATAGAGTACATTTGCCCTGTTTGCAACTCTGAGTTTAATCTAAAAAATGATTGGAGGGATCATCTCCAAGAAATGCATAACTTTTTTTCCTTTGATGGATTGGGATTAGAAAAACGTAGTAACTCAACAGTTGAATGTTTAGAATGCAAAATGGTATGTATGATTCATATGCTCTGTTAAATATCTGATGTACATTTGTATTAAATTTAATTTATTTTGTTTTATTTAATTTTAAGGTTTTACCTAGTTACTCTATAGAGCCGTTACAAATACATAAATTTTCGCATCTCCCTTGCAAAACATATATGCGCTGTAAACTTTGCTTACGTTCATTTCATATCTACAAAGGTATAATAAAACATTTCATGAAACAACATCGTCTGGAAAAAGAATTCAACGCCGATGCAGATGAGAGCCAAGATGGTCGTTCTTTTGACCCATACTCTGTGTCATCTACTGTGGACTTTGACGATGATCAAGTACCAGCTGACGAACAAGGAAAATTCGATTGTCGTGATATTTACGAAACACAAATAGATTATTTATGTCCAAAGTGTGGTGAAGAATTTTTTGAAAGAAAATTGTGGAGAAATCACATCGTTCAAGCCCATAACTATACTGATTTGAAAACACTTTGTTTTGAAGCTGTGAATGAGCATCAATTACAATGTCACTTATGTGGTAAAGTGATTACAAATGCTTACGGTGTGCAAAACGCTCAGCAACACTATTTCACACATTTGCCCCATAAGGCATACATTCGTTGTCGGATATGTACCAAATCATACACAGATCGTAAGGGATTAGTTAAACATTTGCGCAAAGTTCATCATATATCTTCTAAAACAATGTCACCATTATCTAAACCCGCTGAAACAAAGTCTCACTCGTCGTCATCATTTCAGAAAAGCACTCCATTCAAAGCTCCGCGTAAAGCACCAGTTAAAGAAATTGTACGACACAATGGTGTTATATATGAAATACAATTTTTAGATGAGGATAGTAATGATGACACTTTTATGGACGATACATCAACCTCGATAGAAGCCAAAAATGATTACAGCTTCACAAAGCCTCCAAAAAGGCATGTGTGTCCTGATTGTTATTCCACGTTTGGTACCGCACAAGAATTACAAAGGCATATTCGAGAACAACACGACTTCAAAAAGCCCATACAATCTCATGTTTGCACTAGGTGCTATTGTACCTTCGAATCCGAGGGCGCTTTGTATGATCATAAACTAAAGCATCACTCAAACAATTCAGATAACTTAGAAAATAATGAAGCTAATGACGATGATGACTTGCTGTTGGTGCCAAGTAGGAATGAGAATGTAAAGGTTAGTTCCAGCACTGGTTCAACCAACATAGAACAATATTTTTGCTATATGTGCCCTGCGTGCGGTGAGGAATTCAAATCGCAATATGAATGGCGTCGTCATATTAATGATATACATTACTTCGATAGACGTTATGAGTTGAATTTCAAACAAATAGATAAATTTCACTTTGAGTGTTTAGAATGCAAAGAAATTGTTAATAGCCCTAAATTAAAAGCTCTACAAGACCATAAATTTCGCCACTTGCCGTATAAATTATACATCAAGTGCCGCCTTTGCAGCACTTGCTACAATCATAAACCAAATGTGGTTACACATCTACGTATACGGCACAATTTAATGGATCCTCGTGAAATACTTAATAACAGTCCATCAGTATCACCAAGCCCATCGCAAATGGCCGAAAACTATGAGAAAGAATCCACATCACCTTCACAATTGTTCAATATTCGTTCGATGACAACCGAAGACATTATTTCGAATCACAATGCAGTAGATCACGAATCGATTACTTATCGTTGTCCGCAATGTAATGACCCATTTGATACGCACGCTCTGTGGCGGCAACATATCGTTACCGCACATGACCTCAACAGCAGACAGGGCTTGAATTTCCGTCAGTTGGATGCACACCACTATATATGCTTGGAGTGTTACAAGCGCGTCACGGTAACTCACACGAAAGGTGCGATTGGTCAATTGCAATCGCATAAATTTCGCCATTTACCGTATAAATCTTTTTCCTGCACAACTTGTGACGGAGTCTTTGTGCGTAAGCAAATGTTCTTCAAACATCTCAATCGTATAACCAATAGATGCCCATTATTGGGAAATGTAGGAGTACACAATTATAATCCAAAAATAAAAGCTTCCCATTTGAATGTATCACGTAAAATGGCAGGTCACGGCGGTAGCACTCCTGCGAAGAATCTCAATTTTTCTGTGACATCGAATGAAAGATGTCCTTACATCATACAATGCCCTCAATGTGGCATCAAATTCGAAAGATGGGCCCCATGGCGTGATCATATCGAAAAAGAGCATGCTCTACATAGTATGGAATCATTGAAATTCAGGAGGATCACGGATCATTTGCACATCTGTCTGCAGTGCAAAGAGCGCGTTACTGGTGCAAATTTCGTCAATTTGCAGACTCATCGATTTAAACATTTACCATATGGTACCTACCTACATTGCCGCTACTGCGATGTTAGATATTACTATATGATTAATATTATCAAACACATGAAACAGAAGCATCCAAATCATGGCTTAAAGGAACTCGAATTGCAATTAGAAAAGACGCCTGTCAAAGAGCCCATCGACTCTCCATCAGCCGATCTTTGCATGGAGCTGAATGAGGAGAAAAACAATGATAATATTGCCGATGATGAAGACGATGCAGAAAAAATTGGTCTAGAACATGAGAAGAAAGGTACCAGTGAAGACATGATTGGTTCCGATTCTGAATCACAAAAATGTTCGTTCATTATATATTGTCCACAATGTGGTGTTGAAAATGATAATTGGCCTGCATGGCGTGAACATATAGCGGCGGTACATTCGTTTGATAAGCTGGATGCATTGAACTTTACCAAAATAAAAGATTGGGTTTTTGAATGCAACGAGTGTAAAGAGCAAGTCAATTTCAATTCACTCTACACTCTGCAGATTCACAAATTCACGCATTTGCCATATAGCAGCTATCTACAGTGTCGCTATTGTGACGAAAAATTAGATAATGTAATGGACATAATGAAACATTTGAAGTCAAAACATCCTGAACATGTAATACAAAAGCACGATAAACCCATTGAATTGGATGATGTTTTGTCGTATGATGATGATGATGATGATATTGATGAAGATGAAGGTGAAGGAACGAGAGATAATTTAGATATAGAAGAGGGAGTCGATGATGGCGATGAGGAGGAGGACGATGAAATAGATGACGATGATGATGATGACGACGAAGATAATGACAATACTGTCGGCGATAATGCAGTACGCATGGATGTTGATGATTTCGAGGATGCAGAAGACGAAGATGAAGAAGATGTTGATGATGATGATGACGTTGGAGATGATGAAGACAATGAGGATGATGATGGTGGCAGTGAAAATTTTGATAATACTGATACGGAGGTAGGTCCAACGGGTGACAGTGAAAATACAAATACTGAAGTGCCACGAGGTGCCGTTGAAGATATTGAAGAGGTCGAAGAATCGGAGCAATTTGTTCTGGGCTAATTTTTCTTGGTGTTATTTTCGAATTTAAAATAATAACCTTTTACATGATATATCAGAGGCAGTCTGTGTGATGTTGCCCTATTATTTGAAGTATATTTATAACATATTTTATATAGTTTTTACTTCCCAAACATTCTATCAACAAATTATTTAATTAAAGACATTATGTTTGATAACAACAGAAACAAAGTCCTTCACATACAGATTTATATTCAAATAAGTAGTTTAAAATAATATGTATTAATTTTATTATATACATATAAGTAAAATCTATTAAGAGATAGAGAGTAAAGTCATTTCTCTATACATAATGCATGGGGTCAAGTGTAAAAACAAAATTGTAGACTAAAGTGTGGATTTATTAATATATTAAGCTTCTTCTAAATCATGAAAGTTTATTCATTAAATTTAAGTTGTATGAAATACTTCAGATATACACGCTATAAATAACAGGAAAAAGTTGGTAAGAGTAGGAAACCAAGTTTGATATGTTTGGTTTTATAAATATTAATTTCTAAAAGTAAATAATTACTAAGAAGATTGACGTTTTCTTGCAATATGGTTTAATATAAATCTATAATTTGGATTTTTATATACAAGAAAATAGCATACATGCTTTATCTTACAATAGAAATACATAATACTTTCCACTTAAAATTCAATTATTAACATTCACGGCTATACCCATCATAAACTTAATATTATATTTATAGTAAGAATACTTTACTTTTATAAGTTTTTGAAATATGTCCTTTGTTTGTATGCTATTTTGAAATTCATAGAAACTTGTATTCTCCAATTCATTTACAATTTCTAACATAATTTAATAACTTAAGACATACAACTCATTTACACAACATATAATAGAAAGTCTTATTATAAATATAATGCCCAAAAATGAGAAGCATCAAAATATGAATTCAAAAAAATATACATACATATATTATTGGAACTTTTAAGTATTGTATTTTGATCGCAAATGCTCCGTAGGTTATAATATAATAATATGTACAAGACATCAATAAAATTATGACGTACTATAAAACAATAATCATTAACCTTTCCACATTTGATGGGTCAGGCATAGTCGTTTAATCTGGGAACGAGAGCCCTCCCGTTTCATGTTTGGGAAAATTCTTGTCAGACAACAACAACCTACCTGAAACAGGATTCGTTTTTTCTTGCAACCTGTGGGGAAATAGAAATATGTACATACACATAGGTCTTGGTATTTTGTTGTGGGATTACACGCAAATAAAAAAAAAAAAACTAAAAACATTACATACTTAACAATCCGCGCATCGTAGCATACAATATCTAGATCAATCATATTCCTCTAATGAAGCCAAAGACACCAGAGCGAATTCATAAGGGTAGAGAGCAGGAAAACAAATGAAGCATTTACCACATAACCTGTCTGTGCGGAACCTACTGTTATGCTGCAACTACCCATTTTACTTGCCATCCGTCCATAACAGCCGACTGGAAGAGCGAGATACATACACGAGTTATCGACGCTACTGAGAGCGGCGAAATGTTACCAGCTGCCAGTGTGTTTTTACACTTTTGAACAAATTTATAATTTTTGTCAACTTATTTCATAATTTATGTGTTCAAGTATAAACGCAAATGAAATATACATGGCCTATGTGGTAACAAATAACTAGTTCGAATTTAGTATTAATTTCTTTAGAAAAAAAGAACAACTGACACCCGTTAGTAACGGCATGGGCAAGCATGACAACTTTGTGTTTACAAGGCACTCTCATAGGATAGGTTGCCATGGACGGAAGGTATATAAGATGGGTCAATTAAGTTGTTCGCTCTCTCAATCGTAGTTCACACTCCAAATATATGCCGAATTACTTAATTCGCTATACATATATAATTGAGAGCGAAGCTTTTCGTTGCCCGTGTGGAATGTCCAGAACAATATCATCCAATTCCGGCAATAAAAATTCGTAAACATCTCTCGATAGCCCAATCCGTTCATTTTCGGGAAAGTAAGATTCAATGACACTGCCGAACTATATACCGCACCAAACAGTTATACGTTGAGGGTGGAGAGGCTTTTCAACTATGAATCTTGAGTTTTCCGGTTCCCATATACGACTGTTTTGCTTATTGACGTAACCAACGACGTCAGTCCAGATGATTTTTCGATGAAATTTTTATTGTGAATTTTAATAATATCAATACGTTGCTGCGTGTATCGTTCCATTTTTCTTTGCGTTTTCAAATGGAACAAAAAAACTTAATCAGGAGAAAAGAAAGCTGTCAAATGGCGTGCCATGTAAATGGGGTGATTCGCGTTCGTAATTATCTTACATTTTTGAATCATTGTGAATGTACCCAAGAGAAAGAAGGCGAGCATATTTTTTGCATTGTTGATTGGTTTGCTTATCTCAGGCCTTAAGTGTGAATTCGTTTGATGAATTAATTTAAAACAGTTTATTAAAAAAGCATTTTACAAGGTATACAAATATGCGGGAATCATTACACATTTGTGGGAAAATTTTAACCACAGAGGATTATCATTTTTTCGCACTTTGTTGTGAAAAGTGTGATGCGTCCTTCGGTCAGTGGTCGGGATTTCTGAAACATTTGAGCAGTAAACATGATTTTCAATTACCCGTAAAGAACCAATTTGTAAACGATCTAAACCAAATTGAGGATTATGATGAACTCACGATTAAAGCGGCACTTAAGCAAGAAATGGAAGCTGAACTAAATAAGCAAATTAAAGTTGATGCAGCGGAGTATGAAAGTGATGGGGGAGCTATAAGCGATGGTAATGACAATGATATTGCAAAGGAATTCGAATCAAATGATGAGGAAGCTGACAATGATTTTGCTAGCTCCAAATCCGAGGAATCGGCAGTTGCAGGTTGGGATATGGGTGAAGATAACAACGATTCAGTAAGTTGTCAAATTTAAACTCTTGACTGCCTATATAAACAGTTGTTTCTTTACACAGGAGAGTTCATTAAGTGATGCTGCACCTCTTCAGGATAAAAAGAAAAAACGAACGGTATGTATTTATATATTTCATTCATTATATTTAGATGATGGGGCATTTATACAACACAGTTCCATTGCAGTTCACTTTCAACCTCCAGGAAGCATATACTCGGAATATATCCCTTAAGTTTCTTAAAATACTCGAAAAATATCCAATTTTGTGGGATCAACAACATCCAAATTACTGGGCCCCAGAAAAACGCACACGTGTACTCTTTGGAATTAAGGAATACATGTCAAAAATGGGTTACACAATTAGTGATTACGGAGTCCGTAGTGTAATTCAACGCATCGTTCGTGATTATAAAGCTTACAAGCAAGAATTAGCTGTTGTTGGACGTTTGGATGAACGAAAGTCAATGGTGTTAAAAAAGTGTAAATTTTTGGATGGACCACAAAATAGCACAGATAATACTATTGAAGTTAAAAATGATTCTGATGCGGTAAGATTTTTGTATATAATACTCTGATATCGTAATGAAAAGTTTATACATAACGTCCGTTTTATTCAAAACTACCGCTTATAGGATGACATACCCGATGACTTAGATGAAGAAGATTTTTCATTGAGTTCAGACGCTGAATCAAACGCCGAGAGCAATACACCTGGAATAAATGAGTTTATAAGAGATTCGGTATACGTTTTCTACAAAGGGAAATATTTCTTTAAATTAATATCTTTTTTTTTTATTTTTTTTCCTTACATATACACAGCGTGATGGGAAACGCATATGCTTCAATGTGGCCGGGAATCCACTCGTTGACGAATTCGTTAGTTTGGTACGCGATAATCCAATGTTATGGGAAGTTGGCCAATTTCAAAATCTCACTGAACGAAAACGCATTGTGGAATCTTGGATACCAATTTTTGAAGAACGACACAATGTTACATTTGCCTATAGAGATCTTGCCTTGAATTTGAAATTAATTCGTAGAACACTTGCTAGTATCGAAGAACGCAAGGTGTTGAATAAAGCAGCGAAACATCTTAAGGATATATGTAGTTTCTTACCAAAGGCCAAACCAATTGTACGTCTTAAGTGCGAAGAATGCAATAAAAATTTCTTAACGGAATACACACTACAAGCCCATAAATATGCTGCACACAAGATTGGTACAAATCCTTTCCGGTGTGAAGTCTGTGGGCACGATTTTACAGCACACAATCAGCTGGATACACACCTGCGTAGAGTGCATCTAAAACAATTCTCAGTTCACTGCGATGTTTGCAATCGTGGCTTTTTGCAACGCAGTGTAATGCTTTTGCATCGTCAAACACACACTGGTGAAAAAACATTTGTATGCGAGACGTGCGGCAAAACATTCAGACGTAAGATAAACATGCAACAACATCACCAGCGTATACACTTGCGCCAACGCGATTTCAACTGTGAATTGTGCCCCAAAACATTCTATTTGAAATGTCATCTACGCGATCATATGAATGCCCACTTAAATATACGCAATCACATATGCCCCACTTGTGGTAAGGCTTTCCACAGTAGCCATGCCTTGATGCGGCATAAGCAAATACACTCTGAAGTAAAGAGGTATGCATGCAAGCTTTGTGAAGCGCGTTTCCATCAATTTGTGGGCTTGAATTCTCATATGAAAAATAAACACAAGTTTGTAAATGATAAGGATGAGGAGGTGGCACAGCAGCCTGTTGTGCATATGACAACGCTACCCGCAACAACAACACCCGATACTTCTATGCAAATAAAAGGGGAACTGGTGCAGTCTATGGATAGCTGGAATATGTAAAGCTATAAACAGTTATTTTAGAGTATTTTTATGTTTACTGAGTTGATGTAATAATTTGCATTTGTAACTGTATGTTACAGTTATATTATGAATTATGATTTTTTTATTTAGGAATTAATTATTTTATATAAGCTGGTAAAATATTCATTTAATGTGCAAAGATTATGACGTAAACTTCGCAGTCTTATAAAATAAAAATTATAGTTTTTAATTATTAACGATTTAAACTTTTCATTTCAAATACATCTCTAACGGTTATACATGCAGACAAATTTTAAAAGATTTAACACATTCTTGTGAGCCGAATGAAAACTTTTATTGTTGTTGTGGTCAGTGAGTCAAGCAAGACTAAGCGATGGATACCTGAAAAACGAGCTGTTCAGATCGGCTCGGCACATAGCAAAAGCTGGGTGTCAAAGCAATTAGTACTAGGAGACATGTAAAGAGAAGGTGATTAGCGTCGTGCGAGGAGTCAAGGTATGTAAGGACATACAGCATCATTTATAAATCGCAAAAAAAGCACCTTACCACATGCCAGCTTGTGACTTTAGCTCGCAGCTATCACAGCAATCGAGTTTTCACACCGGAGGGACACGAATTTTTTTTCGGTCAAGGAGTATAACATTAGTTATATTATAGTTGTTGTTGTTGTTGTTGTAACCGCAAAATTATTCCCCAAAGTACTTTTTGGGGAATGTTGCGGGAGTGACAGTCCTTGGCCGGATAAAAATCCGGGTCGTTCCGATATAAAGACCCGACTGTCGCGGGAACTATTGGATTTTAGTCGCCTCTTACGACAGGCATGCCTTACCGCGGGTAAATTCTTGAGCCCCTAACATTAGTATTTGCGGCCGCTGTAGCCGAGGGTTAGCATTGAGCACTACTTGGCACGACCAACATACAAAAGTTGTAGAAAATTAATTTAAATAAACAATTAAGTTAAATTTTCTAATTGCAATCGCCCCTAGGCAGGGAATGTCAACCCATCCGAGTGCATTTCTAATATGAAATAAAAGCTCTTCATAAAAAACCATCAACCGTTCGTAGGCGGCTTAGTATAAACTGTAGATTCCTCCATTTTTTGAAAAAACACCAAGACGCAGAATCACAAATTGGAGGAGGAGCTCGGCCAATAGTAACAGTGACACACGAAGGAAGTGCAGGGAGTAACGCACAAGTGAGACGCTGAAAAGCCGCTGCCTTTGTATGTTAGACATCTAAAACTACCAGCCAGTTTAACCTAACCATTGAAATATTTCCATGTATTGGATGAGTGCATAAGTTCGTGCCCGATTTCAAGTCCAAACTAAAATTGAAATTTTTGAAGAAAGCGCTTTTATTAATCAATTATGTATTCGCCATCATGTTCGGCAATCCACTCCCAACGTTCAATCAATTTACGGATGCCTAAATTAATAGAAATCGCGCGGTTCCTCCTTGAAAAAGTTGTCCAGGTGGTTTTTGACGTCTTCCACATTTTTAAATTTTTTTTCATTCAAATTGTTCTGCAGCGATCGAAACAAATGATAATCAGAAGGTGCAATGTCGCGTGAATATGGGGGATGCGCCATCCCAATTCATCTCCTACAGTTTGGCCAGGGTCGGTTTTGCAACATGTGGCCTGGCGTTGTCATGATGGAAAAGAACTTCTTTGCGATGGGCCAAAATCGAACGTTTTTCATCAATTGCTTTCTTCAATTCGACCAATTGCTGACAATACTTGTTGGCAGTGATCGTTTCTCCAGCTGGCCAGAGCTCAAAATAGATCACGCCTCGGATATCCCACCAAATGCACAACAGTACTTTCATCGGATGCAATCCACCTTTCGACATCGGCTCCGCCCCTTCGTGTGCCTATTTCCATATTCTTTTGCGTTGAACATTGTTGTACAGGACCCATTTTTCATCACCAGTCACGAACCCATCCAAAAAAGGTTCGTTTTTGTTCCGTCGAAGCAAAGAAATTGCTGTTGACATACGGTCCACTTTGTTTTTTTCACTCAACTGATGTGGCACCCATGTATCGAGCTTCAAAGTATATCCAACCTTTTGTAAACGACGAAACGCAGTTGATTTGTTGACGTTCAATTCACTGGCAACCTCTTCCGTCGAAATACGTGAGTTATTCGCAACTAAAGTCCTTAGAACATCGTCATCAAGCTCAGAAGGCCGTCCACTCCGAGGTTGATCTTCGAGGTTAAAATCTCCAGAACGAAATTTCGCGAACCATTTCATTACTATGCGGAGTGCTGGAGCACGGTCCAAATAAACTTCGCAAATATCCTTAGTTGCAGCGCCTACTGTTTTTCCTTTGCGGAATTCGTATAACATAATATGACGCATATGATCTTTTTCGTTGTCCATTTTCCATGCGTCTTTTCACTAAGCAACTCAAATCAAAATTTTATGCTTGATTTACAGCTCGGACTGTCACCTTTCCAACGATATATAATATGTATATATTTCTTTCACGAGCGCCACTCTCAAACGATTCGAACGGCATCCAGCGGAATCGGGCACGAATTTATGCACTCATCATAGTAAGACTTGATCTGTATGGTATTTTCGTAGAGATATTATTGCTTATCGCCTCGCCAGATCAACTATCTTCTCAGCCCAAGGGCGGTCACCCTGTCCACGGTCATCAAGTATACCTAATAGATCTACTTGATCCGGGCGGGCATTCAGTTGAGTAAAATTATTTCTTGGAAAACTGTTCTGTAGCCTTGGCCTTCACTTTTAATATGCATTAAAAATTTGTACAATATCCAGACTTTAGTTGAGCAAGCATTAATCGGTTCTCACGAGGTAGCTTAAACTATTTTTGTGCTATCAGTGTGGTTGATTTTCAACGGCATCCTTGGAAACTCTCTGCGAATGGCGTTTAAGACTCAGACTCAGTTAGACATCGTGTTTAGCAGCTTCCAAAATATAGATGAGTTAGCAAGTTGAGCCGGCACTACTCCTTCTAGCTAATGAGGAGGGTTAAGTGAGCCTTTTACCCTTTTTGACAACGCTAGTGCTCCATTATTATTGGCTTTACTATCATGTTGTAGATCCAGTATAGAATTTTTGGTTTACACCTCCAGGATTTACTTGAAAACCTTCTAAATACAGTGAACAATTGGACACTGGAGACGGAAAAGACGTATGTGAAAGAATTCAGCTCTGTTAAACACGGTCTTCAAGTCTGTGACTAAATGTCCAGTATCTCTTGGGACGTTACCGATGGGATCATATTTTCAGATTCTGCTGGAGGTGCAAAAAAAAAGACGAATATTCACCTACTCCGACAGCTATAGACAGTCATCAAAAACTTTTCGTAGAGCGCTCATAGATCGAAAAAGAGCTCCGGCTGCCACGCAGTCCAATCCTCGGCCGACATAACCAACATCTACAAATTTTGGCACTATAAAACAACCTGAAAAAATTTGAGCTCTCCATAATTTTATTTGACGTATTATTTAAATTCGATGTTCGATGAATAAAACTATTAGTATTAAGCAAAATATGGGCTTAGTAATTTGTCGGCAGCATATTTTATTTCCTACTTTCCTGTATACTTACTTTTTGCCTCAGCCCACGAGTAGAGTGTCCTCATCGAGAAATTCATAGTTTGGGACAGCTAAATTAAGTGGTGCCGGACCTTTACGTACACGTCCAGAAGCATCGAAATGTGAGCCATGGCACGGGCAGTAATAACCACCAAAATCGCCCGCATTCGCGATGGGCACACAACCCAAGTGCGTACACACACCGATTAGAATCAACCAACGTGGATCCTTAACACGTTTGTCATCCGATTCTGGATCACGAAGGCTGGACAGTTTAACTGAGCGCACATCCTCTATTTCAGCCTCTGTACGATGTCGTACAAATAGCGGTTTCCCACGCCACTTAAATGTTACCGACTTACCCTCAGGTATATCTTTCAATTTGATTTCAATCTTGGCTATAGCCAATACATCGGCTGTTACGCTCATGGAACGTACGAAAGCATGCACTATGCCCTTCGCTGCATAACAACTGCCGACCGCACCAGCTGCCACCATAGTATAAGTGAAGGCTTTACGCTGCTCTGCACGATTATCTTTAGGATCATCTTCATTTTTTGCTTCTCGACGATAGTCGGAGAAATCCGGCACTTCCATATCTCTGTGCGACATCCGCAGCGATGGCCGGAAAAGTGGCATACCTCGATGACTTATTTGGAAAGGCGCAAGCAAATTCAGTGTTGTGTTTCTTCCAGCTATTTGATACAGACCAAGATATATTTGAGAATTTCTTTGCGACGATTTTCTGTCATTCATGGCGATGTTCTTGCCGCGCCGCACAATTTGTTGGAAAACATTGCAACGTCGCAAAAGTATGTTTATAATTGTAGCCTTAATTGAGCAGCAAAAACCGTTATACATTTTTTTTTTGAGAATTATTAAATTTTAGCCAATTTGAAGATTATTTTTTTTTTTTGGAAAATTGGTTTGTCGAGACTCCGAAAAGAAAAGGCAAGGAAATTTTGAATTAATTATTTTTTTTTTTTTTGGAATAGTCAAATTGCAGCAGTGGTGCGTTTTTATAATACGAGTAAATGTAATTACCAGATTTTCCCCACGCCTCGTTCGCAGGTAACTTCAAATTGGCTCTATAAGCAACCCGCGACAAACCATTTAGAGATGCTCTGCCATGGATGATGAATTTACCGACTGTTGTACTAAATATATTTTCTTCTTTCAAAACTTCTTATCCGAGGCCATTGTTTTGTTTTCATTGGAGTCTTTTCTTGAATGGCAGGCCCCAAATAATAAGATTCGAAATTTGTTTATACAGTGAGTCGCTGGTTTCAGCCGCACTTCTGATAAACAGACACTGCAAAAAAATTTTAGTGAATTCTTGAGCCGAAAATAGACTGAACAAATACTACAATCGGTTGGTTTCCGCATCTCGTAGATTGGCTGCTCACGCTTTGCGGGAATTCAACAAGGACGTAGAGGACTGAACCTTATCATAGCTCAATTTAGTCACAAGTAGAGTAACCAAATCGATTCCCCTAATTTCAATTTACTACATGCTATTTTAAAGGGGAAAACCCACTGTCTTAAATCTTCTTATAAGTAGATTGTTGGGAATACTCAATTATGATAATTTCGCCATTTTAATTTACCATAGTAGAACATGAATAGTGTTCTCGCTTCGAAATCGCCAAGAGATACTCCCAACAATGCTTACTAGTCAACATTTTCGTTACCAAAAATTTTTTTATTGCGAGCTTTTGAAACCTTCCTACGATTGTTGACGACGCTTGCCAGCAATGCCGCTTTGGTATCCTAGTATACTCATGTGTGCTTCCTTCCTTCCTTCTTACTTCTTCCTTCTACTCTTTTGTAATTATTCTTTAGAGGCTTGCAAGCTAGCTGCGTAGGGAGACGATGATTAAGAATAGGGAAAGAGTATGTTATGGGATACCCTTAAATCTATCTTCGAGCCGTCTGGCTCTTGAAAATGTGGAAATAGCGCGCAGGGGAACTCCTCTTCACCAGCTGGACGAAGGAATACAGGCTCGATGTCGATGACATAAAAATTCCGACTGCAAACAACCCAAAGATATTGGAAATGACACAAGATAGCCTGCATTCCTTCACTTCGCATGCGACCGCAATTGCCGCAAAACTTCAGAGCTAGAAGCTGAACCTCCACTTAGGCATATCAGAAAGGGAGTACTCGATTTAAAAAACACCATCCGGCAACATATACTACAACAGCTGGACAGGATGGCTTACAAACAGGCACTGAACGCCACTCACTAGGAGTCAAAGACTCCCCTCCAGTGAATGGCGTGCTCGGAGTAAAACAATCACCCATTGCAGGCAACGGGCTCGAGTTGCTTCGAGAGGCCCTAGGGACCTTGGCACAACTTGGGTCTGGGTACTGTAGCAGGTTAAACTCTTACTCATCCAGATTCGACCCCAGCATATCCTACGTATGCCCTGCATGTGGAGAGTCTCCGCACGGCACTAACCACCTCTTCACATGCCCTCTCAAACCAATTCATCTAACGCCCCTCTTCATCTGGTCCAACCCCGTCGAAACTGCTCGTTTCCTGGACCTCCCACTAGATGACCTCGGCGACTTAGACTGATCAAACCTGCGCCTAAGCGGGGTTAGCGATTCTTGGTAAATGGGTTTAAAAAATGTATGTACATACTATTTTTGCTGCTGTGTTTAGAAGAGCAGTTTCTTTCAAAAAAAATTTTCTAGTATTGTATGCTACATATCGACGTATTTACGTAGGGGTTTTTTTTTTCAAACATAAAAATGGAAACACTATTAGTTTAGTAACATTTATTTGGAATAATCAAATACATACATATAAAGCACAGATAAATCGTTTTAAATTTAGTACCATTTAACATTGTAATTGCGTTCGTAATTTCTTTTGTACATTTCCGAATGATTATTTCTTCTCATTATTAGGCTCGTCTAATAACCAAAATGTTTCCATTTCACCTTTACCTTTGACCGTTACATGACCACGCGATTCGATTTTATAGCCTGCCTCACGCACCTTTTTCGCTGTATAATTTGATAATTGTATTTTATATGGGTCACTGCTACTTTCCATACGGGATGCTGTATTCACTGTGTCACCAAAGAGGCAATATCGTGGTACTTTTAATCCCACCACACCAGCCACCACAGGACCCGAATTTATGCCCACTCTTATGGCCAAATCTGGTATCTGTAAGGCTTTTACCTTCCTCACAACGCGTAAGGCAAAATCTCCAGCATGCTGAGCGTGCAATGGATTTATATCGGGCGCACCTGAAACCGCCATATACACCATACCAACTGTTTCCACTTTGTATACAAATGGTGAAATTATCTCCTCATCAAAGGCTGAAAAAACTGTATTCAAGGTGGTCACTGCAGTCATCGCATCACGTATGTCATTCGTGTCGCCTGCGTATATGTTCATTACCTCTATGAATATGACAGAAACTTCTTCGAATGATTGACAAATCGCCTCCTCACCATTACGCATACGTTCAGCGATGGTACGTGGTATCATGGAGTAGAGCAGCTCATCGCCTTGACGTTTCCACGAATCAGCAAGCTCTAATGATTTCTCCAGCTCATCCGAACGTTGCTCCTCTTTTTCGAACATAATTTCCAATTTCGAACAATGCTGCCAACCGGCCATTACCAGTTCACGACTCAACCCATGTGGATTTAGATCATTTAAAAATAGACCAATTCCATGCAGTTCATCTAGATTTTCAATAAGTGGACTGCATAGATAAATAAGAGAATCAATGTCTTTTAGATGAAACATTTGCCCTTTTAACAAGATCGCCTTGCTACCATGCGATATTTTTCGTCTACCGGTGAGTGGATCGATTTCCTCTTTTTGGTCGACATTCAGTAAATTCTCCTCACTGCTATTCAGTACCTCTTTCACTTCATCTTCGAGATTATGATCCATGAGCGCATCGTAGGCTGCCTGATTGCGGCCCGTGCGCATTAGTTCGAATTCGAAAAGAACAGAATGCATTTGTATAATCTGGTCCCATGTTATCTTGATGTCTTTTGGACGCCGACATTTGAAAATATCCATCAGATGAGAACCAATAAAATTTTGAGGATTTTTGCCCTGATTATGTAATATCCAGGTATCAACAATTTTTTCACCAGCCGAAGTTATAACCATATTACGGTTAAGTAGAACGGTGAATGGAAACAGATCGAGAAAAACATCAATATTAATCTTTGGCAGTATCTGCTGTGTTGGATGCGCCACAACGTTAACACGCTTCGCCATATATTCACGATTATCAAAGTCCAAGCGATATTTCACAATTACCGTTAGCGGTTCATGACTCAACTTTATCGGCCCAGCAATGCCGCCGTTTATATCATTTTGACTCTCAATCACCGAACATTTCACATTCAAATTGTAAAATTCCCGCCCCACCTGCGTCAATTGACCCATCAGATACTTCGAAAAACCAGTACGACCACTGCGATAAACCATAACAGCACCATCATCATCCACCTCAGTGAGCTGCATGGAGGGGCTCTTCATTTTCGGATAAGTAAAACGCATCTGCAGGTGAATATTATCGATGGATTGTAGGAAATCACAAAAATAGCGCCCTGTCGCACGTATCATCTTATCATAGCCGAAGTTACTGAAAAATCGCACAAAGCAATTGCCAAAGAACGACATACACCAATCGAAGGATTTGCCAGTGATCGCCGACAATGCGGCGGCTATGTCGGGCATAAGTGTGTCGGGATAAATCTGATGTGTTTTGAATGTATTGTGGCGACAGTCGATTATTTGGCATACTTGACGCCAGACTTCCTCGCCGAATTCCTCTTGAATGAAGTGTTGGACGGATTCTAACACCATGCCATACATGATTGCAGCTTGAATTTTTTCAAATTCGTATGCTAACTACGATTATAGCGGTAAAATGATATTGTGCACTTGATTGTGAGTGTTTGCAGTGTTGAGCAGTTGCCGTCAATAGTTGGTTTTGTTACCGTTATCAGGTGAAATAAATAGATTCCATATAGTTTGTGTTTATATGCTTTGAGTGATGTGGATGTGTCAATTGTGCCCAAACTTGAGGCAAATACAATAAAGAAGTACCTACACCGTGTATGATTGTCAGTGGAGATTCGTAAAGCGTGTTCGACGAATTGCTTGCAAGTAAATTTATATTTTTTTATTTACTAATAAACTTTGATTTGTTTTGTACTCAATTTTAGTCTAGAGTTAATTGTGTGCGTGTTTTTATCTTTTTTTTTGAGTTTTGTAAACACTCCCCACTCTCTTCCTTTTCTCACGTTCAGTGCCTCTTTTAGGGTTACTTTTTCATTTCATTTTTCTCAATGAATATTTTTTTTTGTGTTTTTAGAATATGCGGATTATCGGAGATTTCTTATATTTACATTATATTTTGTTAATTTTTTTCATTATTTATATTGTTTGGTCACTTTATGTATGGTTGCACTTAATCTGTTTTATTTATTATTTGGTTTGATTGATTTTCTCCAGCTTTTAGATTGAATTAGATAAAAATTAAATAAGATCTGTGTTGTTCTACGAAGTAGCGTCTTTATGTTCGCTGAATGAGAGTGTTGTAGTGAGGTGATTAGGCGCATTACAGTCGTGCCTCTTAATTAATACAAATACAGGATTTCGTTGTTTTTGGACCACTAGCCTTTGAGCTATCGTTAACCAGGCAAATGAAATGAAATATGGAAAAAATCGAATATCGTGCCTTTATAAAGATCCTTACAAAGCAAGGAAATCTGTTGCAACCATAATGAGTGAGATGTCATTGGCTTTAAAGATTTATTTAAACCACACATACATCCCTTAAAAGACGACTTGAGCATTGCGGTGTCCACGCCAGCACTTTTCCAAAAAATTTAAAAAATTGTTCTCAACGAACCTCGGACATAAAGAAAAAACAACTTGCAGAAATGGTTGGAGTAACCGGTACAATAATTTTAAAAACCTGTGCGATTATCTTGGTATGACTAAGGTCAACGCATAATGGTTGGCGAGAATTCGAATTTGGCTATAGCTACCCTGCGATATTTTGAATCACCCGCATTTTAATATTTTTCAGAAAAATTGAAGGACTTTTAGTTCATTCTGAGCTATCTTCGGACGGCCGATGGATTTTTAAATGGAGCTTCGATGGTAACGTCAGAAATTCACTCGGTGGACTGCAATTACCTGCCGAGGGTGACCGTAATTAGATTTAGAATTAAGTTTCTAAAATTTTGTGTTTGATTATTTCCTATTTCCAAAAATTCAAAGAGAACTGAAGGGTAAAAAAGTTAACACCGATGATGAAGTAAGGGAGGCAGTCTCCGCGTATTTTGAAGATGACCAGGAAAAAATGTCTATGAGTTTATTACAAATAAATAAATGAAGATATGAAAAATGTATCCGTTTTGCTGCTGCATATGTTAAAATGGAAGAATCTATATTTTTTTTCATTTCCACCTCTCTCTCTCATCTCTTCTTTACCAATATAAAAACGCTCCTTAGTATGTATACATTTTTTTGGTTTTGTGATCATAAATTTTTCGTAAATATAATTTTTTATAACGATTTTTGAATGTTAATAGATTTTTATTGTAAATTAATAGCTTTTAATTAATTGATTTATGTATGTATGTATGATAACCCAAAAGTTTATCAAAACACTTTTATTTTGCATTCTTTACGCTCTTGCGGGTAATTTATGAAGACGGAATGTAAAAAATGTTCATACACTACTTTTCACGCCGCTTAACAATTTTCCATTTATATTAGCCAATTTGTACATATGTATGTGTGTAAGAATGTTTATGTGCCTAATTGTTTTGCATACATATGCACATACTATTGTCCTCACACTTTGGCAATTCACACAAATATAAATAGGTATTCTTTGCCACCTCTTTGTTGGTGGTGTTGTCACTGATTTATTGTGTGTTCTGAACGCGTGCTTAGTAAATCCCGGCACGCTTGTGGGCGGTCGTTTACAAGTTGCTCTATTCCACTTGCACACAAACAGTATTTACCGGATATTAGCGAGCTTTCTGTCTAACACAATAGAGATTTAAGTAGCTTTAGCCAATTACTTATTTAACGTTTTTTTAACTTTATGCACAATTTATGCATGCATACATATATCTATGTATATATATACAAATTAAAGTTCTATTTATGCTTATGTTTGGAAGCACAGCTGATTTTTTTTTTGCTCGCACAATAAATTGGCTGAATGACAAAGTGTATTTTACTTCATTTTAACTTATTTGATCCCTTCGCAGTATTATCTATTAATAATGTAAAGTTCTTTTTTGGCAAAGTTGCCTTTTTCGGGGTTAATATATTTCAGTTCATTAAATTTTCGAGTTTTTATATTTCTCTTTTGCATACATGTTTGTTTGTGCAAACTTTCACTCTCACACAGAAATCCTCCACGCACTTCTCGCTCGTTTCCGCAGTTGTTTTTTTATATCTTTTCACTTTCTACGGCTCCTCGTGCGTATCCAATGTACCCGTTCCGCTGCGCTAGCCAACCGTCGGCAAACGATTTTTGGCCTGCCCAACTACAATGCGTCTGCTGTTGCTCTCTGTGCCTCTTACGGTTGCCTTTCTGCTACTGAATACTCCCGATAGCTGGCTGTTGACTAAATACATAAATAACAGTGTTGCGTTGAACTTGTCGCCCATGTACCCAAGTACCCATGTATATAAATACACATTTTAAGCATTTTTATGTATGTAATCACATGCACATAAGTGTGCACATATACATATACATGTGTACTTAGTATATACAATGTATCGGCGAAAAGTATCAGCCAACTTATTTTGCACCATTAGGCCGCCCTTCCTTCAATGCGTGCCCTGCTGTGTCCGTCATCTATCATTGACAATAAATACTAATGCATACACACATACATATACAATTTCATTAATAGTATATGTATGTTGTTTTTGTTACTTTATTTTATGCTTATGCTTTTTTATTTGTTTAATTATCTCTTATTGCCGTTTGCAACAATTATATTCCGTGAACTCGGCATTGTTTTTGTTCATTTCATTTTTTTTTATTAATTTGCTCTTGCGGAAAAGTGTTTTTTTTCACATTCCTTTCGTTAAAGTAACGTAATTTTTATATATTTAATGCTTGACTGTATTTAATATTTTGTTTTTGTTCGCCTTCAGCTGTTGATGGCGCTAATTCTGTGTTGAAGGTCCTTTAACAGACGCTCCTTTGCAGCCCAAGGAGTTACGCGACTTTTGCTTTTTCACTTCGTAATGCGCTGGTAGCATAGCTGTTGTGCCTTTTATAGCTACGACCGCAATCAATTACCGCTTTTTTCTTACTTTGGCGATAATAAAAGTTCATATTTCAAAGTGTCCTTTCGTACAGTGGCGATGCTGAACAGTTAAGGGGATTTGCATTGAGGTCATGTGACCCCAGGGATGTTGTAGATATTTTGATTGCGTTGAAAAGTGTCACCGTTAAGAAAGCTTATGAGACGAAACATATCTACCAAATCGATTCAGTTTTCCATAAGGCAACGATGCGTGATTATGCAGAGCTTGAGAAGTTGGCCGGCAAGGGCAATGCACAGATGTTTCATTGACTGGTTACTTAACACCGAAAAGTTAGCAGCGAAGTCCGATCTTTTCAAATACGCCGGCGAAAAACTGGCTAGGCGCATGCATCACCCTCTTTGCATGCCCGATGATTGGAACCTAAGTATGATGTGCCCAATCAACAAAAACTCTCACAAAACTTCTACAGTCTGTGTCAATTGCCGTGGGATAATCCTCCTCAATCAAGACGAAAAACCTCCTGCCTTCTTCTTTTCTTTGGCGCATGGTGAATATCTGGTCACCAGGTCTAAAGCCACACTGATAAGGTTCAATCAGTTTGTTGACGGTGGGCTTTAGTCTTTCACACAATACGCTTGGTAAGACCTTATATGTGATACTAAGGATGCTAAATCCACGATAATTGGCGCAGACTGTGCGGTCACCTTTGTTATGGATTGGGCAGAGCACACTTAAATTCCTATCGTCGGGCTGCTTTCGTCCGACCATATTCTGCAAAGGAGCTGATGTATACACCTTGTTAGCTCTTTGCAGCCATGTTTGAATAGTTCTTCTGGTAGGCCGTCAGCTCCCGCTGCTTTGTTTTTTTTTAAGCGAGCGATTGCTATTCGAACTTCTTCATGGTCAGGTAATGGAACGTCTTTCCCATCGTCATCGATTGGGGCTTCGGGTTCACCATCTCCGAATTCTCCATTTTCCCTACTATTCGGCAGGTTGGAGAAGTGTTCCGTAAATTGAATATACTTATGGACATCGGTGGCTAGATCACCTCTTTGTGTCCCACAAGAGTCTGCTCCGGTATTGAAACCTTCCGTAAGCCGTCGTATATTCTCAAAGAATTTTTGAGCATTACCCTTGTCGGCCAGCTTTTCAAGTTCTTCATACTCACGTATCTTGGTCCCTTTTTTTTTTTGTCTGCAGATGTGTCTTGTTTCCCTTAACAGCTCTCGGTATCTATCCCATCCCGCACGTGTTGTGGTCGATCGCAACGTTACGAAGTTGGCAGTCTGTTTACTCTCCACTGCGACACGGCAGTCCTCATCGTACCAGCTGTTTTTGCGACCAATAGTTTCGTTTGCAGCTGTGCGTAGGGAGCTTGTAATGCCGTCCCACAGTTCCCGTATACAGAGTTGCTGATGAGTGGTCTCAGAGAGCAGGAATGCAAGTTCAGTAGAAAATCGTTCGGCAGTCTGCGGTGATTGCAACTTTTCGACGTCGTACTTTCCTTGTGTTTGTTGGCGAGCGTTCTTCGATACACAGAGGCGCTTGCGTATTTTCTCTGCAACAAGAAAGTGGTCCGAGTCGATGTTGGGTCCACAAAGCGTACGCACGTTAGGAACACTGGATACATGTCTTCCGTCTATGCAAACATGATCGATCTGGTTTGGTTTTTTTCGATCAGGGGATAGCCACGTAGCTTGATGTATTTTTTTGTGCTGGAATCTAGTACTACAGACAACCATATTTCGGGCCCCGGCGAAGTCTATCAGCCTCAACCCATTAGGGGATGTTTCTTTGTGAAGGCTAAATTTTTGGACAGTCGTACCAAAGATACCTTCTTTCCCCACCCTGGCAATAAATCGTCAAGCACGATTTTCACATCGTGGTGGAGGCAGCGCTCATGACTATGCTCTAGGCGCTTATAAAAGGTAGTTTCGGCCAAATGGTCCGTCGCTTCCGTCGGAACGTGAGCGCTAATCAATGACATGTTGAAAAATTTCGCTTTGATGCGGATTGTGGCGAAACGGGAGTGAATGCTAGTACTCGACGACGAAGTCTCTCTCCCACCATAAATCCGACCCCAAATTTGCGCTCCTTTATATGACCGCTGTTGTCCCGTCCATCGCACTTCTTGGACGGCATTGATATCAGCCTTTATTCTTACGAAGACATCAACTAGCTGGGCATCGGGACCTTCCCAATTAAGGAACCGGACATGCCAGGCGCATGCCCTCAAATCGTCATCCTTAATTCGTTTGCGGGGGTCGTCAACAGAAAGGGGGTATCTCATCCAAAGCGTTGTTTTATTTGTCATTGGAGCTGGTTTCAACTTGGTGGGTCCCAAACCCAGCGCACAACCTCGCTAGGCGAGTAAGATTAAAATTTTTTACACATTTATATAGCCGCTTGCTTCAAAACCAACGCCCACTTGCAGCCGCACCTCTGGCGAACAGACGCTGCAAATAGACTTCAGAGGACCCTTAAACCCAAACGGGTTGGTTACCGCATCTTGCACAAGGTTTACACACGTTCCCAGGATGCGCGACGTGGACGCAAGAGTAGGAATTGAGTATAGCAGGCGGTCCCTTGAACTCTCTCTTAACCAGCTTGCAATGTATAACCACTGGTATAAACACTGGTTTAGCTCCCTTAGACGAGTTTTTCATCAAATCGAATGTTTGCACAGCTCTGCGTATACGTAACCTGATTGTGTGTTCATATGTACATATATACGATTACATGGGTGCATATGCTCATGGAGTTTTCATAAATTATATTACAAGGCTGTGCTGTCTTGAAGAGTCTGTACTATACTACTAGACCCCCTGAAAACAATTTTCAACAGGCACTCGAAGATATGCACATACGCGTAGGTATATATTTATGCTCATGAACGGTAAAGCTAATAAAAAAGTGAGAGGCTTATTGGGAGAAGGAAATTGCTTAAGGATCTACTTATTGCTTTGCAATACAATACAGGCTTACATACAATCAAATTGTCATCAATTATATGTAAGTGTAAGTGTATACACGTCGTTATATATATATATATAAAACCGTATTTAAAGGCGCTTATATTGTTATGTTTATATGTGCTTACATACATTAGGGTGGTGTTCTAAGAGAAAATCATACTTTATGGTTGGAGGTTGACTTTCATTGTCAATATTTGTTTAAATCTACGTGGATAGAATAAAAAATTTCACGCTCTTTGTTGCTTTTGGATGGATATTCCACCACAAACGTCATATCTGTAAAAACCGGTTGTAAATTTCGGGGGTGTGGTGCTAAATTTGAATGTGTCAAGAGACAAACATACCTAATTCTCACTCAAACTCAAACAGTTTGGAAGTCATTATTATGGGAATGTTCCTCACAAAAAGTTTATACAAACTAAAATAAACGAAAAACGTCAGTCAAGACAAATCTGGCATCGAACTAGGCCCTAACAAGAGGCATACTGTAAGCTATTATTCTGATTCATAAGGATTCAGAAATGTAAAATTTATTCAAACCTTCGAACCAAACCCATTTCAAACTATTCACTGTGACACGATTGATCAGAGAGCACCGCTTCGTCAACTTTATCGCTCACATGTTTAACGCCTGCTTAGTAAATGGTTTTTCCTTCCGAGTGGAAGGTAGTTGGAATGAAGATGAATTTGAAACCAGGGAAGCTATGAGAAGATGTGAAATTTCATCGAACTGTTAGTCTCTTCCCAATCTTATAAAAAATGTTTGGCAACCGGTTTCTAAAAAAATTGATGACATCAATCGAACTTAGACGATTAATTCCAAATCACCAAATATGCATCTTCAAAACTTCATATCAACATCCGAACCTCTCATTGCGGCTTTGCCAAGTACCCGGAATTCATGAAATTAAAAACAAACGCATTTAAACGAACAGACCGCTAATCTAATGACACCGGGGTAAATTTTCTCAAAGTTCGCTTTACCTTACTTATTATTATTATTATTATTATTATTGTATTATTTCACTTTTTAATTATTTAAAAAAAAAAAAAAAAAAAAAAAAAAAAAAAACATTTGTAAAACGAGTTCAATTATTAGACAGCACCCAAAATATATACAATAACAAAAAAAAAATGTATCTCGAAAAAGAACATTTAAATAGATTCAATACATACATATATCCTTTTTCAGAAAGTACCAACTTAATGCTCAAATTCCGCTGCTCATATTATATATATATATATATATATATATGATGATGTTGGTACATATATATTTATGGAAACCCTTTTTTTTATTATAAAAGAATACAATCCGCTTAAATGGTTCTACGCGTGATACACAACACCAACACTCACATTCTCTTCAAAAAAATCCATAGCAACATACATATGTACATATACACCCAA